CCCCATCAAAATGATCGTAAAATATTATTTTATTATCAATACGAAACAAACAAGGAAACAGAAAAGATACTGCTATTTTCTAACTGTGGTTATTGACTGAAATATTTATCTACAAATACAATCTTTTACATGATTGAGAAACAAACTTAGCTTTAAAGAATCATGCTCAGCACTGAAGAATAGTATGAGAACATGCAGACCAAGTATAACCATCCACACCCCCATAAACATTTTCCTTTATACCTCAGAAGATATGAATATACTTTCTTTTAAAATGTTAAAAAAAAAAAACCCAAAGCCAACATTTTGTAATACCTTTAGAAAATATTTGGGAAAAATTCAGCAATGCCAGATTGGTACAAGGAAAAGGATCACCCGGTAGAATCTTAGATTTTAGTATGAGGAGGATTTTGAGGTCATGCCAATGGGGATAGGGAAGTTCTTTGTACTGTAGGAAAGTGAGTGTCAAACGGAGAGACCATTAAATCAAAGGTTATATGAAGAGAAGAGGATTTGGGCTGCAGACTATTATGTGCTCAGAGAAGGTGGGTTTTCTTCCCCATGGGGTCTAGCAGCATGCCCGGGAATCGGAATCGGTCAGCGCTTGGCCTTGAGTCAGTCAACTTGACCAGAGCTTAACTCTGCAGTTTGACTTTACCTAACGTCTGCCAGAAATGTAGTGCAAGAGGCAAAAACATCTTTCTTTTAGATCAAAAGAAAAAAATGTCAACTTAGGGGTGAAACCCAAAGTTATGCCTAGCAGTTCCTTTACATAGATTTCCATGTAATTTCAACGCAATCTCTAAATACTTATTGAGCAAGCAAATACCCCCAGAGCGCAGACATGGTGAGTACGGCAGCTGTGAGGACGACATTGGGTTAATCCGCTGCCATGGTAGAAAGGCATGCTAGCTCCTTGGCGGTACTCGCCGAAGGTGCCTTTCGTGCACATGCATGTAGTATGTTTATCATGTAAAGCTTCCTCCAGACCACTTTACACTGATAGCGATGAATGTGTCAGAAGCACAGGAATGGCATGCAGGGCGGAAGGAAAGTGATACTGTACCAATTGGCACGGGGCATCCAGCCCATCCAGGCCAGGTTGGCCCGGCTCCCCCTTTTCCCCCTTAACGCCTCGGAATCCCTGTTTGTAGAGATTAACTCATAATGTTACCAACACAAGAATTCACTTAGGCACGAGATCTGCTAAAGAAATAAGTACAGTAATGAAAGGCTGGGAGAGGAGCAAGTGCGGTGGGAGACGGATCACCAGTGTCGCTGCACAGAAGGAAATGGGCTGGACACCGTCCTCTGCTCAGGGCTGGCCTGGGAACGGGGCTTCTTTTTGAGGATACAGAGCAGCCCCCAGTTCCTCTTTGACTCCTACAGTCATTTTCTGGTTGCAAGTTAATGCTTGAGTGTTAAGGAGCCAGCCAGAGTGGGTGTCCAGAGAGCAGGTGTGGGACCCCCGGCAGCCCCGGGACACCCTGTTTCTGGCACCTCAAAGTAATGCCAAAGGACTCCTATCAGAACCTCCCCCTGGGGCCGCCCATCCAACTTGCTCTTCTCCCCGCTCAACCCTTCACACAAGGTTCTGGACACAGAGTTCCACAGGTCACACATACCAACGGGCAAGGTGCATCTAATCCAGGGGCACCCTGTTCTCCTTTCTCCCCTTTAGGCCCCTTTTTGCCTTTCTTTCCCTTTTCCCCCTGTGGATACAAGGGTTTAAATCAAAGACAGGTATTATCTGTGGAGGGGAGGAATGGGCACTCAAGAGATGGTAGCCAAGAAAAGTCTGGAAGGACATTGACCACTGTGACCCGCTTGAGGTGAGGCATCATATCATAAAAGACAACTCGTACTTTCCGAGTGATAACGGATTCTGGGCAGTGATAGGTAGACTTCTGTTGAGGATGGTCAGCGAGATGAAAGGAGATCCACGACATTGACACGTCAGCCCCACCCGGACCAGGAGTTTCTGCCACGGAGGACAAAAAGCTGTGTGGGAGCCAGCGAGGCAGATGAAGCTCACTGGGCTTCACCGGGCTTCAGTGCCAGGGGGCAGCTTTAGTCCCGGGACTGGCACGAGCTTCTCTGAACCAGAAGAAAGGGGAAGGACATGTGCAGAGCCTGTCTTTTTGAAATTCCCCCACCTCTAGGAGCAGACTTTTTGTAGCTCTCATTTCGGAAAGTTGGTGATTAAAATATACATCTCTCTCTTCTAACATCCTTTTTTTTTTTTTTAGAAACTGAAAGCAAATATGTAAGTCAGGTAGACAACTTTTGGGACTCGGCTAACACTTCTACCCACGCCAACTGGAGAAACAGGCTTATGTGAAAAGCCAGGGATCTCCTTTCATTCATGCTTACTGATCTGATGCCAGGTGGCCACAACGGTAAATGGGTTTCCAGCTTACGAAGGAACAGGAGCCAAAAATAAATACATAAATTCTGTTCGAGAGAGGAAAGCAGCTTGGACCTAGCAGAGCCGTAACAGTAAAGATGAAGTAGGCAGGGTAATTGCAGTAGGGTGGAGCCACGGAAATTAGTACTTGGGAACCGAGGGCGGTGGGCGGGGCTGGAGGAAGGAGTGCAAGGGGGCCAGAGGAGAGGAAGGACTGCACCCCAGCTCGCTCCCATTAACGCGGAGCCTCCGCGCTCGTGCAGGGACACGGAGTGATGTCACTTGGAACACAGCATCCTCCGTGGCTCACGTTCACGTGAGCAGTTACTCGCAGCTAGGAGGCGGTCCCAGGAGCAAGCAGAACGGACAGAAAGGTGAGAGGATGTAGGCAGCACACAGACACTGGACGCCGCTCCACAGACCACGCTCACCCCACCCCCGAGCGGCGAAAGCGCCTTGTGCACCTCCAGGGCCCCTCAAACACTGCAGGGGCTCAGAAACACTTGGGTTTCTTTCATGCTGGGAAAAGAGGGAAGTCCTGTGTGGCTTATTTGATTCCGATAAGAAACAAAGAGCCGGGGAGCCCGGGTGAAACAAGAGTAGGTGCAAGAGAGAGAAGCCAAACAGATGAGCTGAATGAAGTGATGAACTTCTGGGTAGGACCCAGCAGTGGTCACCGGAAGGGAAGGGGGAAGAGGGGCGAGCAAATCACAGAAGGGGGAGAGCTGGGCAGGTGTGGACTTATCGGGTTCTCAGTGATGCACGCTTGGAACTTGCTTAGTGTTAGAAGGAGATGTTGCATTAGAGGGAGGGGGGGGAGGAAAAGAGGAAGGGAAGAGACTGCAAGGGATGTGTGTAGGTCAATTGCTCACACACCTCCTCTACCTCCTCAGCAGGAACTCTGAGCATCTTGGGGTGGGCTCCTTCCTCCCTGGAGGCCAAGGCTGCTTCACTAGGGTGGCTAACACCACACACCTGGTGTGTGGGCATGATGAACAGAATCCAGTTTATTCTTTGATCGACAAATCAACTCAGATCATTCATTCAGCACAAAGGTGCTGTCATACGATGTTGGCTACCAGGCAACGGGAACTGATTTTCAGTCATGTTTTAGGAAGCTTTATGGAAAACAGGCACTAGTGTACCCAGAAGGATGTCCTGGAGTTGTCATCTACCTATGTCATTTGGAAAGAAGCAGTGATTCCCTATGCAACATAGAATCATGTCTTGTGGAATGATTATGTGAGACTCTTGTTCATTTTTATCTCCCCAGGCAAAGGATGATATACACTAAGTGTTCACATTTAGCATCTAAATATGAAACTTCAGGTCATGGAATCTGGAAGATGGGAGCATTTTGGTATAGGCGATGAACACGCTGAGAATTAAATATGTAGCTTTATGTTTCATAATTTATACTGTAATATTTGTAATTTCTTGCGTGTTGAAAAGATTATTAAAATGAGTATTTACAAAATGGTGACCTGCTTTTGAGTAAGATTTTACTCAAAGGTAAACATAACATGTTTATATTCCTTAAACACACACAGCTTGGGCTAAAAGCTAGTGTGCACAAGTTATCTCAAAACATTTTATAGCTGGAATTTATATTCCAGAACAAGATGACTCTTTGTGGGTTTTCCCAGTCTTCCTGAAATGGAGATAAAATAGCAGCAAACTGAAGGGACTGTTAGGAGAATTAAGAGAATTGCCATATGTACGGCTCTTGGGAAAACACTTACGTCTTTATTATGTGATGATATTGATGCTGGTGGTGTTTCCCATAACCCCATTCAGGACTTCACTTACCAGTGGAAGCTAAGACATGTTTAAGGCCAAAAAACACACAGCAGACTTGATGCCCTTTGCGCTGAAAAGAATGCATAGGGTTTTGAAAACTGAGCTGCTACATAGAATAGGACATGAATTAATGAGAGAGAAAGAGAGAAGAGAAGGAGGAAGATAAGGAAGAAGGAGAAGGAAGGGGAAGGAGAGAAGATTAATAGGTAGAAAAGGGGAAAATTGAGTAAAAAAAAATCATAATCCAAATTTTGCTTTCAGACAAACCCTTTTGGCTGATACCGGCTCCCATACACCCTGGATCCGACTGTTTCTGAGACAGACCTAAACACTAACCTTGTACCACAGACCAGTGCCCTCATTTCTATATATCTACAGTGACTCAAAGGCCTCAGTCCCGCAGAGCAGATTCATGGATTGCTCAGTGGCGCCACCACCCTCCAGGTTCCAACCAACATTCTTAGGGCTCAGGACACTGTTTTGCTCCCTCTTTGGGAGTGGGTGATGACAAGTAGGACCTGCCTTAAGGGTCTGTGTGGACTTCTACTTTGTACAGTAGTGTCTGTTTTCCGCTGCAGATGTGTGCTATTTAATTTGACTTGGACATAATAAATGCCTTCCTTTTACCTTTTCAAGAATTCTTGGGCATTCGCTCGCTAATTTGTTGTCAGATCATGAAGAGATGGTAGCCTGGAGATCAGTGGCCTGAATTTTCTTCTTCTACACTAGATAGTGTGCTTTTTTTCTAGGGGTGCAGCCTCCTCCTTTCCTCTGTGAAGAACTAAACTTCTAGCTAAGGCATGAGTGTTTGGGGGCACTGGATGGAGAAAGAGTTGCACAGCTTAGACAGCAAAGCAGAAAACACGAGCATAGCAGCAGGCACATGCTAGGAAGGAAGGGTCACCTTCTCTCCCTTCTCTCCCAGATCACCCTTCTCGCCTCGTGGACCAGGGAAACCCTACAGAAGAGAGAAAGCAAACCTGAGTGAACTCTTGATGTAACAGCAGCAAAACCACATTTCAGCCAATCACTGAAGAAAATGCGAGATCTTCTATTTATCAATGCAAACGTCTAGAAAATGGCATGCTAACACAATGTCAAAACACAGGCAGTGTGGCATTCTGGAATGATAGTTTGCTGGCATCTCAAATATCTGAATACAAAAGCTTTCTTGCTTTTTCTCCTAAGAAATATAGAGAGGAGGGAATATCAGGATCCTATCTTTGTAGTGACTGGCATGGCAATGGAACAAATGACTTACCTCTTAGCATTTTAGTCCCATGTGGCTGATCATGCCAACGGCAGGCTGCTATTGTGACTGTGAATGCGGTGACATGTAGAAAGTGCCAGAAGAGTGTCTGTGTACAACCAGTGCTCAGAAAATGGTAACTCTGATCCCTTTTGCTACTGTTATCATTCCAACACTTAATACAGGATAAGCAGTGACATGCTCTGTTGTTACAGAAGTAGGTGATGGTGAGAGATATGGGGACTTTATGCTAAGAGAAAAAGACTGCATCATTCTGAAACGAGGCATAAAATACCATCTCTGAACAGTAGCAGGTGAAAGATTGTTTGCTTTTAAGCATATTTTAAAATAAGTTCAACTGCTGATGTGAACGGTGCATCTCAGTTGGACAAGTATTTTGAAGTGCCACTGACTATTAGCTATTAATTTTACACTAGGTTGTTATATTTTTTGCCTTTATGTGCATCTCATGCAAACTCTGGTGGTGTATTTTATATTGCTGTCTCCATGCACAGCAACAGAAGCGTCTGTATAACTACAAGCATAGAGAAAAACCAAGACATGTCTTGCTGCGATTGATGATGGAGACCATCAGCGTCTGTTATAACAGGAAGATGTTTATCGCATGTGTTACTTACATCAAGACCAGGCTCTCCATCTTTTCCCTGCCAAAGAACCATAGTAACTACATTAGAGCCCCTAATTTTCATAAAGAGGTTATGGTTTTGTGCCAGGACATGCAACACCAGCATTAAAACATCTACTTCAGATAAGTGAAGAAGATTCTCTACTGATTAGTAATACTAATTTCATTCATTAAATCAAGTGAAGTGACTGTTAAGGTTGCAGTTAAAAGTCATGAAAAGTTTTATCCTGTTCAGATTACACAGTCTGATTTCACGGAGGTTGAATGCTGACATCCAACAATAAGTCGAAAACAAAAAACACTATAGTTGCTTTAAAAACACACCAGCTCTGACAGAGCATGTGGACCCACGCCTCTTGATTCACTAACTTAGTGGTTAGCTCACAAATGCACACAGAATGAGAAAACTCTATTGCTAAATATAGTTTGGTTTGGCTAGATGCACATCTTGTCTGTAGATATTACTGATAGTAGGGGTGTGAAGGTTACAACTTAGAAAATACCTTAAAGTAACCACTGTAAATGAAAAGAGGCCCAAATAATACAGAGCAGGGATGGTAGCATCTCCCCCAACCAGCTTTGGAGGACAGAGGCTGAGATGCTACTGCGTCACCGGTGAATCTGCTCCAAGTCATGGAGAAGTTGCTTTGATTCCGTCAATTAAATTTTGAAATCTATTTCAAAATCATCTCTTAGCACTGAAGTAATCATGGCCTCGGCTTATTCTTTCAGTTCGTAAGAGTAGGAGGTGAGAGGTACATGTAAGGGCCAGAGGGGTTAAAAACCTAAGTCAGGGTAGAATTCTGTCATTTCCTTACTCCGCCACACTGACTCTGTCATTATCCCAAAGATAAAGTTCTGAAGGAGAAAGTCTGTGTTAGTGAGGATTTTCAGAAGCCCCCTGTCCATGCCCCATTTCTGTACGTCACTTGTCATCAAAGTGAGTTAGAGAATCAGAAGCTCAGTCATCACAAGTACCATTTGCGAAACAACTGAGCAAGAATAGTGTTAGTCAATAACCTATGAGCACAGGTCAAGTCTCAACAAGGCTGTTTTAAATATTAACAACGATTTAAGAAAATCACACATACATTATATCATTTTATATAGATAATATATAGCTTGTAACTTATATATTATATATATAAAGAATGTATATATAAAGTTGTTTCAAATAAAGCTTTCACACCCACTACTTTTGGTAGAGTGACACCTTCCAAGGAAGTGCAAGCTGTGGGTGTACAGTCAGCCGGCATAGGCAGGAGGGTATCCCCTGACACTTGGAATGCTGCTTTCAGGTCAGTTCTTTTAATCTTGTGGACAATCTGATCCTCTCAAGCTTGTGGGTGTACATAAACGGGAGAGTGTGACATGAGGCTGGACTTGTCTCTGAAGAACACGCTTCCACTGGTGTAGGGGGTTAGTGCATCATTCTCTGTGCCTCTAATGCCTCTAAGCTGTCCACAGGGGAAGGGGGAAGTGTCCAGCACAGGGAACTCTACGCTGAGGTTGGGGTCTGAGAACTCACAGGCAGACCGTAGGGCCCTCTGGGTCCAGGCTCTCCAATGGCTCCTTTTTCACCCTACAGGAAAGGCGAAGAGTTTAGATGATACATAAGTGCCTATATTCACATGCACACTTCCCCTACTGGTCTGTTAGTTGGGAGGTGGGCAGATGAGACCCTCATACACTCTTGGTAGGAGTATAAGTCAGTTTAGCCATCACAGAGAATGGAATGGAGATTCCTCAGAAAGTTAAACATTCAAAGTCCATATGATGTAGTTATCCCACTTCCAGATACTTACCTGGAAAAATATTCTAATTCAAAGAAATTTTTGCACCTTAAATTGACTGCATTACTATTCACAATAGCTAAGAGCTAAGAACCACCTAAGTGCCCACCTACTAATGAATGGGTAAAGAAGATGTGGTGTGGACACACGTATGCGCGCGCGTGCACACTCACACACACACACACACACACACTACTCAGCTATAAGCAAGACAAAATCTTGCCACTGGCAACAACATTGATGAACATAGAGGGTATTGTGCTAAGTGAAATAAATCAGGAATAAGACAAAGACTGCTCGATACCACTGGTATGTGGTGTGTAAAGAAAATAGATGAACTAAATAAACAAAAATAAACTTTGGACTAAAAGACCAACTAGTGATTCCTAGAAAGGAAGGCAGGAGGGGTGGGGAAGCTGGGATACAGGGGTCAGTGGCATGATGAAGGACTTTTAGTAGTGACCTTAACATTGTATATACACACGTGGATTCTCAATGCCGCACACCTGAAACTTAGGTAACATTATAATGCAATGATACATAAAAAAACAGCCTCTAGTTGAAATACCATTCTATCAAATGCCAATAAGCCAGGTGCTAGGCTGACTGCCAGTGATACCCAGCAGACCATCACCTTGGAGAGAAGGGAGAAATAAGTGCAGTTCCCCATTTGTGGAAAAAGATTTGCCTGTGCAGAAGGATGCACTTGGATTGTCAGGGGTTTTTTTGGCGTAAGTGTGAAATATTTATCTGTTACTAATTATTTTAAGTTGCTACATTTCTTCACAATGTAAGGCTGAAATGCATTCTTCCTCTTCTATCAAATGTCTTTTTTTTTTTTTTTTTAGCAAACCCTTCTTTATGGAGTTGTATTTACTTCACGGTTCTTGCAGGGACACACAAACATCATAACCTACGGTTCTCACTGAGCTCTGCACAGCAACATGCATGTTTGGGTGTCTAGGTCTCTGACTTTGTTCTCTGCACATCCCCACAGCTAGAGCATCATCTGGCATGTCAATATATATTGTGTAATGAATGAATCAAACTGAATCACCACCAGGTATGTGTTCTGCTTCCTTTCTGAGGGGAAAATGAAAAACTTTAATACCTGCCACTAATTATCAATTTTGTCACTCTCCCTAGGAGCCTATTTGTAATAGATTGCTTTCTTTTCTTTTATATTCCACATATGAGTGAAACCCTCTCCTTCTGACTTACTTCACTTCACATATTCCCCTCAAAGTTCATCCATGGGAACATTTCATCCTTTTCATGGCTGAGTAGTATCCCATGTGAAATATATACCACATATTCTTTAGCCACTTATCCGTTGTCCACTCCAACCAATAGAGTACCTTTTCCTCCATATTCTCAGTTATTTTCTTCATTTTTATAGCTTTCCTGGGATTAAAGGATTGTCTTGAATGCTTATAAAGACTCAGGGTACCAGTAGGTGACTTATGAATATGAAATAATTGTGATGAAAAAGAAAGAAGTCCTGCATTCCACACAGCTGCTGTTTCCAAAACTAAAGCATTGCTCAGCATTCAGCAAGAACACACTTGGAGAAGAGGTGAAATTATTCGGTGGCCAAATGGAAATGTCACCATCTCTTATCATAGCCCTAAAGAAGTTTAAAGGCTACTGACCTCTTCTCATGGGTAAAATGTCAAGTTCAGCTGATAAGTGTGAACAGATTTAGTATGAGGATGTACATGTGTCCCTCACATCGAATTCCAGATTCCATATGAGCAAATTTTTATTCACTGTTAACCTTTTCCTTTAACCTAATTAGCACTATCTCCTAGATGCACATAAAGTATGGGCAGAGTACAGAAAACACATGCTTAAAGTTTCTTGAACTTTACTACTGAAAGAGCAGCAACTGCATTCAGCTAAGTATCCAGGCTTTGAAATGCAAACTGATTTTAATTTGTATTTCAGGCCTCCCATTTTCTCGCTGTGTGGCCATGACTAACTTTCTAAAACCTTCTATGCCACAGGTTTTTCCCTAAGGATTAAATGTTACTATAAAATGTGAGCGTATATGTTGCAAAATAGTATATGCCACAAATAGTAGTGATCATTATTATTAAACAGTGAAAAATCTTGCTTTTAATGAAAGGGGATTGACAATTGAAAGAACATTAATTGAAAGAACATTAATTCCAAGTAAACTGCTCTCAGTTTGACCTGGCGGTGTTAATTATAATTTTTAAAATGATGATGGTGATTTGAGTGCTACATGGGTGCGTGCGTGTGTGTGTGTGTGTGTGTGTGTGTGTGCCTGCAGTAGAGATGTGGCTTAAAAGAAGAATTCATGTAAACTAGGTCTAGTTTGAAAAATCTCCATGACTAGTGTCTCCCTCTGCTGATGGAGTACCTCAGCTGTATTTTGCTTTAAAATAAACATACCATGGCTTATTGGAATTAAATGGTCACTGAAACATTTATTGAACTGCAGCACACCTAAGTGGTTGTTTTAAGTTAACAAGGATAACTGGTTTCCCTGGCTGGTGCCTGCCTCAGGAGCCCACCTTGACCCAATCTGGGCGATGAGGTGTTGGTGGTCACCACTGGGAGGCGTTAGCGAAAGGGACTCTGGAGGGGGCTGTACCCGGGAGGGGAGGCCTGGAACTGCTGCTAGCAGCTGGAGGTAGACAAAGCCGCTCATGGAAAGGGTGCAGAAGCAAAGCCTAGTGTCCCTCCTCTGGACATTTGGTCACAAAAAACTATAAATTACTTAAGTCTTTTTGACTTGGGGTTCTGTGTCTTTGACCCGAAAGCATCCTAACGGCCACAGTCTGAAAATGTTTTGGTATATAATGCTAACGCGGGGATTTGAGCATGCAACTTCTATTTCTGGGTGAAATAATTCCAAGAGGACCTTTGAGCCTTTCAAACTTAACACTCTACCGTGTTCTTCAGCAGTAAATGGCCAGATGACGCACTCTGCAGATGGCGGCCATTGAGATAACGGAGGGTTAAGTGCTAACACTCTTGGGTGAGGGGCTGACCCTTCTGCACCACACTGTCTCTCCAAAGCCTACTTTTTTTCAGGCTTCTCTAATCTCAACCAGGCGCTATGACTTGCAGGTCTACTCTGAGGACTTCTAGAAGGGCTCCCATTCCGGAGCCCTACCTACCTCTTTACGTGGAAACTCTTTCCAGAGAGCCCACACAGGACTCCATCAGTTAACTGAGCTGCACACTCCTGTTGGACACTCTGGGTGAGGGCACTCGGAGCGTATGGACCACAGCCCAGGGTGCTGGCTGACGTGCTGAGTAAATACAAGTGCAGCACTTAACACCACACGCCATCTGACTCCAACTATGCCTTCCAAAATTCTTAGGGATTTCATTTGCTCTCCTGGTTAATTCCGTCCCAGCACTGAGACCTGATACCCTTGTGACACTGTGGAGCTATCGGAAGTAGCAGCTGATTTACCAAACGGTAAACCCTCTTGAGCCCCGGGGCATTCTGCCAAAAGGTTTGAGATCGGCTGCTCCATTTTTAGCCCCCTACTGGATTTCTTGACATGATGCTTGGGTACACCAGCAGCTTCAGTCTCTCAGCTTTTAAATATAATGAAGGTGATCTTCATGAGGCACTAATCTGATCTTAGAAATCAAACAATGGCTGAGGCTAACAATTGATTCCCTTAGGGCTTACCTTTTTCTAGAGCATTCTTTGAGAAAGACAGCCTCCCTCATTATTGCCTGTACTGTTTGTTTTCACTTTGCCTCATTCTCTGGTTATTTCTTGCAGATGTTTTTGCTTTTCTCTTCAACCAGATTGTAAACTCTTATAGACCGAGAGAAACAGCTGTTTTCTTTGCAGAATTAAGTAAATCTATCTAGCTACTCATAAAAGGTTCTAAGATGATGAACTGACAATAATGACATTCAATTTACTGGCGCAAACTAGCAAAAGCGACTTTCTACAAATGGGGGGGGGGATGTTGTCATTTGCACTAGGAATCTGCAAGCTGTGTATATGACAACATTTGAGATGCACATATTGAGGGAATGAACTCACTTTGCAGAACACAGAATCATGGACTTGGAAGGTTTTCCAAAGGAACCACTCATGGCCTCCATTTTTGCCAATTACCTCAGACTGATGAAATCTCTCTGGTTTTCAAAGACCACAACCCACACCAAGGACCGGTGCAATGCCTCAGCACCTGCACTCCTGGGTTACTGCTTGTCCCCCTCTCCTGGATCCCAGGGAAGTTGTCACAATTCCATTGAGACACCCTCAACCACTTCTGAGTTTCCCAAGGTGAGGAAAAGAAAAAGAGGAAGAGGTTCCAGGCAGATGAGCAGGTCTGGCGCTGAGGTACATTTTTGTGTGTCAGCTATTTCTCTTCCACTCTGAATGCCTTTTTTTCCCCAAGAATAGGAAAACATGACCTAGCAATGGAGAGGTTAGTGAAAGGTTTTGTTTTATAATTCGCCGAAATTATTTCCTTATGGTTAAAGAAAGACAGGCTATTCTTATGCTTAAAAAAAAAAAAAAAGGAGGTGGAGAGGAGAACATAACTGTGAGGAGAATATGTAGGGTTTGTAATTTCCTTTAAAAAAAAGTTTTAATGTACTCTGAATACAGTAGCTTTATATAGAAGATTATCAACCAGAATATGTAGTCATGGAAATTTCAGCCCCCTTGACTTCAACTTTCTGGATTAAGGCCAGATGAAAATGTCTTCCGTATGGGTTAAGAAAGAAACGTCTGAGCTCTTTGCTCAAACCGTAAGGGTGTGCGTTGTTTTGATTAAGGCAGCCCTCTTCTGTGTTAATACTTGCCTCTTGTGTTTGCTCAGGGTTAGGCTCAGAACAGAAGTCAAGATGGGGACTTTTTCCACTTTCTATCAGATAACCCTTATTTCGTCTGGGAAATGAGCAGCTTAGCTTGGTTTTTAAATAGGATGGAACAGCCACACACTGATTTCCTTAGGCCACCGCTTAACCCTTTCAGGAATGACTTACTCTTTCTCCTTTGGGACCTGCAGGGCCATGGGGTCCCATAGGGCCATCTGTACCCTAAAAAAAAGATGAAAATAAAATAATATGAGCCATGTCCCAAGAGCTTCCAGTTATAACTCACCCTGGACTTCTCCTGGCACCTCAGAATGTCAGTGAGCAGTACATCTCCCTTTCAGCTCACTTTCTATGTGATTCTCAGGCCAGCGGTTCCCAAGGAACCCAGGAGAAGGCAGGAACTACATCAGAGCCGGCCTGGGACGTACACACAGAAGCTGTCTACCACACATGAATACATATTTCCTCCCTGCCAGAATGGAGCATCTTCACTTTGCCTTATAATCTTAAGAAGAAAACTGTAATTGTTTTTCCTGCCTATCACCTCTTTTCTATGTCCATCCTCCACCCCCACCAGGCTCTTGGAAGGCTTGTTTTCAGCTGCCTAGGAGGGCTGGACTGTTATACAAGTGGAAGCACATACTGAGTGAGAATAGTCTTTAACTGTTTGAACCAAACTTCCTTGGTTCTGTGGGGAGCAGCTGAGGACTTGGAAGAAATGAGTTTGTTCTGACAGTCTGTGCAGTGGCTGGGTCACCAGGCAGCGGCTGATTTAATCATAGTTGCCCCCTGGCTCCCTGTTTTGGGATTGGGATTTTGGTGGCAGAGGAGGTAACATCTGAATGAATATGGGAACAGTAAGGTCCAGTGAAAATAATGGCTGCCTGAAGCAGGTTTTTTGAATTGAACAGCTGAGAATTTCTTTTAGATTTTTTCAAATGTAGCAAGGAGTTTAAATATATTTGTTCATTTTCAAAAAGACTATGCTTCCATTCGCAGAGAATTTGTCATGATATTTGTACATATAGGAACTATTCCAGGACAACTTTTAGGTTATTCTTATTTGTGGTCTACTATCCTTGCTTACCCTATTGAATAAAGCCTTGTGCTATGAAAAAATTCAGCATTTCAACTTGTTTCACTGTGGGTAAATTCTTATCATCTGCACTGATCTTTCTCTGACTGCCTGAACTTAAAATTTGTCTTCAGGAGACTTCTACATTAGGAGGCATCAGCTGGAATTTGAGAGGGAGCTGTTAGGAACCAAAGAAAAGAGACAAAATGACAGAAGACAGACAAGTCATTGGGATGAACAGAGATTTGGAAGTTAGTTCCAAGGGAGAAGTGACATTGCAAAGATGGACATACCATAAAAAAGAAAGCTAGCTAAAACAAATTCATAGTATTTTAATCCCCTCAGGTGGCCTCTTCTCATGAAATTACAGCGAATATGCTTGGATTGTGGAAAAATTTGGGAGTCTATGATAGTGAAGTCCATCACTTAGCTAGCCACTCGCAGAAGAACCCTGGCTCCAGGACGATGTGCTGAGGCCTCTGTGCCCACAGCCCAGCTCCATTCATCTTCCCCTTCCCTGTGCCAACTTCGTCCAAGTCCCCTTTCTTTTCAGGCCACTGCACCTCTCAGCCGAGGTGCTTAATGGGGCCCGAGGGGCTGTCCTGAGGCACAAATCCAGAGTCGCAAAACATGTGGGAGCAAGTCAAGGGAGGGACTCACCCGGGATCCTGGCTTCCCGTCTAAGCCAGATGCTCCCTGTGTGATGGGGTTGGTAGCAGGGTGGTGGGTCACACGAATGACAAGAACAGAGATTAGTATGAGGTACCGATGAACAAATGCAACACTTCAAACAACAGAATACGCAGTCACAGGGTTCTGGGATGAATTTCACATCGCTACAAATTGTTAGTTAAAAAAAAAAAACAAAAACAAAAACACATGACAATAAACACCCCAGAGATGATGGCATTTTCATGCCATTTCTGTTCGACAAATACTTATACAGAAATCAAGCTACCAAGGTTTCGGAAGTGGGCTTTAAAGTAGTTTTCTGGAATAGTCACAGGTGATGAATTTGGGTATGAAATTCATTTTAAGGATGTATTACTCACAGTATATTTTTTTAGGTTTTGAAGGAAAGAAATAATGGTCAATCTTCTAAGAAAGGGCTCATTATAATAATCCCTCAAGGTTAGATTGCAGAGGTGAAGGCTCTAGTTTTGTATGTTAAAGTAGCTCTGATAGAACACAAAGGCACAATTTTTACATTCCAGGAGGATTTGACAGACCACCATTTTGCAATGTTCTGGGTTGTTCATAAGTGTTCACACTCGTTACCACTAGAGGGACTTCTAGGAACAGGAAACAGGCAGAAAACTTTTGGAAGCAAAATAACTGTCCCAAACTGAACTGGTCCTCAATTCACTTCAAATAATCCTTGCATTAAAGTCTTCGCGGGAAGTGCTTTAAAGATCTAATGTTTTCCTCAGGGAATGCATACTTTCTCTCTCTTTTTTTTAACCTCAAACTCTAGGGTATAAGATGATGAGAATTTTTTTTGAATTTTTATACATTTAAAAACATATATATATATATATTTTACATCATTCTTCATTTTGTACATTTTTTCATCTTGGCTGTAATGATGATTTGCATTTTCAATGCTTGTTTCAAGAACAAACACGATTACTTCTTTGATAGGACTTTTTACAAATACTAATTTTTAGTTCATTACAGACACGGATTAGATTGAAGAGTATTTAAGAGAGGCTGTGCCCTAACCTTCTAAATCCTGTTGACAAGGGCCAGAGCTGTTGCCTTTTGTTATCCTTCAGATGTAGTTAAAAATACAAAATCAAAGAAAAAAAATTGATTCCAACTATAAACTCTCCCCGTGGTGCTAACCTGTCTATTTTGTGTGGCTTTCACTCACTCTTTATTTTACAATTTACTCTGTGAAAGCCAACTGGGAGTCGTACTACACCAGCAAAATATACTTTTAGTTAGTGGTGATGAAAAATATTCCAAATGTGCATTGCTGTTTGCTGTTTGACTAGCTGATGTGGAGAACTTGACTCCATAAAAATGACCATTACCTCAACATCTCAAATTCAGGCAAACTTTAAAGAGTCAGACTGAGGGCTTAAACAAACCAGAAATGCAAATTTCCTTTTGTCTTTTGATATTTTCTTAAGGATCTGATTAAATCTAAACATTTAAAAGTAAAGATGGAGGTGGGACCATTTTTGCGCTGATAGTGCAATATATTTACCTGAAATGTGATTCAATGACGCACACAGGTTATCGAGGCTTTATGCCTTTGTGATTGGTGAGATGTGACTATGCTGTAACAAAGGCTTTATTTCATTTACTCAATAAAGAACGATGCACTGAGCATCTCCTATGGGTCTGGCCTACGGGAGGCAGAGACTATCAAGTGGAATAGTTGACAGTGAAATAGGTAAAGTACAGTATCTGTGAGAAAAATAGTGGTCACCACCTGTTTTTTAATGTGTAAATCAGATGTCTGAATTATTTTCTATTCTCAATTTTAGGTCCTATTTTAATCAAAATCTAAAATGTTATTTATTAACTTTATTTGCATTGGCTCAATAAGCAGCCTTTAAAAGGCTGAGAACAAGAGCCCCCTGGTCAATAATCACTTTAGAGAAAAATCTCTTTTTGATTATAGAAAATCATGGCATAGAGAACATGAATGTACTTTAAAATAAAAAGTTTACAACAGAAATGTCTAAGCTGTGGCAACATACTTCTCCCTCCATCACCGCCACGAGCACCTGGTCTGAGGGCCGGCAGGGCTGGTAGGTGTAAGGAGCCACCACTGACTGCCTCATGCCACCTTCAGCGGCCAGCCGCAAACATCCCCAACAGCAGGTTCCAACTTGGGGTATCGAAGGAGAATAACAACCAACTGAAGGAGGATTTTTAAAAACTGCATTGAATTATGAAAAGCATTTGGAAGAAATGAAACAAACAACCGCCTCAAGACTCTTGAAGGGGAGGGTCTGGCAGAGGTGCCTGAAGCTTCAGTTCGGGGTGGTGGGGGGTGGCTGGCTGCAGGTGACTGCAGCAAGCGGCAGAGGACGTTGCTTGGCAGGGGTCTTCCTTTGCCACAAAGCAGGCAGCGGAGAAAGCAAAACTGGGAAGCTGAGATCTGTTCTCAAATCTTACTATTTCCGTTTCTAGAAATCTCTACAGTGAGTCACTGAGTGAGCCAGAGATGTTACTTAGGGCAGAAAGAAAAGGCTGAGATGGGCACTGAAATGGAAAGTGTCTTTACTTACTGGAAGACCAAGGGGTCCTCTGTCACCCTTTTGACCTGGGTCACCCTTCAATCCTTTAACACCATTTAACCCTGGTTCACCCTAAATGCAAAAGCAAATGCCAATTTTGGTTGCCATCATGGGTGTTTGCAGTCTCTGAAATGGTTGCAGATTCCAGTTTCAGGGGCCAGCAGAGTAGGCTAGATAGGTCTTGCGTCGTTCAGAAATCAATTTCAATGTTTTAAAAAAAATCAGTCAACAGAAACGGACAATTAACTGACATGCTGTGCAGCAAAACTCCCAAGAAATTGTGCTCTTTACAATCAAAAGACGTCTTCCTGCGTTCCTGAGGTTTGAGTTCTAGCTGGCAAATGAAGACAAGCAGACTAGAGAAAACCGGGGGGGGGGGCGGGGGGGGCGTTTGCCAAGGACCCCACTCTGCTGCACCGGGAAACTGGAATACGCAGGACAGGTTACATACAGATATTTTAAGCCTTTAAGCATTTGCCCAAGGGATGAGCTAACAGTGAAGCAGTTGATGGCTGACGTACTGCCACTGAGCTAGACCTCACAGCCAGAGCCGGTCTCTGCGTGCAGTAATCAATGGAGTGAATCACAAACAGCCAATCGCAGAAGGGACTGTGAAGATCAGAGCCCTCAAAGGCAGTTTTCCTAACCGTCCGCCTGCCTAACGTTAGCAGACAGGAGATACAGATCAAAACTAAGGTAATGTTACACAAAGCGGTAAATCCTCGCGACTCCAATTTTTTTGAAAGCAAACAATACGTCTCCTACTTCCAAGCAGCAGCAGCTCGTCAGAAATGGAATTCTCAACGGTTTACTTTTCAGCTTTTAACTATAGATGTTGATGTCAAGCAAATCTTGAGACTAGTGATAGGGAGGTGATTTCAGACTCATGAGTCTTAGACCTTTGTGTGGGGGGGGGTGGGAGGAAAAGAGCTTGCCCCATTTGTCTGATGATAAAAATAAGTGTGTAGTGCTTGTTAAACAGAGGTCAGGGCTCAGCTAGAGCAGAGGAGCACAGAAAGGGGGTTCTAAAGAGACCTCTGAGGTGATTATTCTCATCAGATTTTGGGGAACAGTGAGCTGGACTCATGGACCAAAATGTATTGTCTGTCCTGCTTCTCTGCCTGTCTACCTACCTACCTACCTGTCATTCTGTCGATGTACCCCCCCTAGCTAATATCACTCTACCTACCAATCCACCCATCCATCTACCAATGTATCCATCCATCCATATCTACCAATGTAGCTACCTATCATCTGTCTACCTGGCTTCACCTTTCAAGGCATCACAAGCTAATATTTGCATTGGCAGGACCTGGTGATTGGGGGGTTTGGGGTCTTTGTAGTGCTGCCCCGAGAGGAAACACTCATGTGCTGTGCTCAGTGTACTGGCAGAGAGAGTGTCAAGGGGAGGTTAAAGCCACAGCTCCATGGTGACTTCCGTTAGCTGGCCTGGACCGCAGCCCCATGGCTCTGCGTGCATGTGGATGTCTGGCATGGTCTTGAGAGGATGAATAGGGAGAGCAGCCTGGGAGCTCTGGCATTGTTTGGTGAGAAATGATACACTGATAAGAGCAGGAGAAGCTGAGTTTGCAAACCATCAAATCTAGTGGCTGAAAGGCCCAAATTCAACTCCAGACTTAAATTCTAGTCCCAGGTCTGTCCTTCCATTAGCAGTGTGATTTAGGGTAGCTAACTTCAACTTCCTGAGTATATAATTTGTCATCTGTAAAATCAGGCAACTTTATGATTCTCTGAATTTTGTGACTTCAGTAACAACGGAAGCTCAGGTAGGCAAACAAATCATTGCATTTCAGTATCAGAACGATCTTCTGATCTAACGGTGATGGGACCTCAGAATCACTCATGGAATTAAGAACTCAGTCTAGCTTGGTTCTTTGTGATTCGACTGAGTTTTGGTAATGCCTTAAAATGCAAGGAGAAGCCAGACACAGAAAACATTGATTTAGTCCAGTGGGGAAAAGAGACCCAGAGACATGAAATCAGTACCAAGGCCACATATGAAGTGATCTCTTTTTCTGACCACCTGCAGAACAAGTTCTTAGTCCTGACTGTAACCCAGGCTTCTGATACACCATCATTCACTACCCTTACTCCAAGAAGTATTCCATAGGAAGAACAAAGGGGCAAGAACTTCTATGCCTGAGTCATCTGCCTGATCACAACAATAAACCTCATGTTTGTGGAGTCAGACTTTTCCTCTACTTCCCTAACGCAGAGAGGATCAGAGGGAGTCTGCTTTTCTCGACAGAGGGTGGGCTGCTCTGACTTTCTGTTCTTTGTGCCAGCATTTATGTGTCCCCTACTTTAAAGATACCAACTCCCTATTACAGAGCTTTCAAAGCCCTAGAGGCCTCTCTCAAGCTGCCTTGAGGACTGGGGAACAGTTCTATCCAGAACAAAGTGTTAAACCACAAGGTAAGAACACTCACATTTATTGGGGGTTACAACTGCCCCAGATATTTTGCTAAGTGTTTTCTAGTCATAATTCACTCAAGCCTTACAATGTGACAGGGTAAGTTATCTAGCTGAGTAAATAAAAGATCAGAGAGGCTAAGTAAGTGACACAGTCTTTCAGTGTCACAGCTGAAACAGGGACATGGGTGCATAGTCTGTCTTCTATATGCTCCTGGAAGAAAGCACTGGATTCTCAGTGTCCATTCAATCCTCCAGAAGTCCTTCAGGACTGCATAAAGGCAAAGGGCAGGCGGAGACCATCTTCACAATACAGGCTGCACCAGGTCTGACAAGGAGGGGCTGATCTCCACTGTTCTCGCATTAACCGGCACATGGAGTACCTGGCTGTGAGGTCACCTCAGTATAACTCCCTGGGTGCCACCCTCTCCCTCAGAGATGCTGACCTTTGGGGGTACAGAATAAAGATGCAGGCTGGGCTAAGCACTGAGATGCAGTACTGATATAGAGCAAGCAAAAAGAAAGGGCCTCTGGACTAGCCTGAGAGCCTCAACAAATCCACTTCCAAGTGGCGGTATGTTATTATTATTATTATAATTATTATTAACTTAAGAGGCTTGCTTAGTGCCAAGGAAAAGGCAAAAAAAAGGGTAACTGACTGCAGTTGATAGCACTAAAATTTACTGTAAGTCATTCTGTGTGGTGAGATTTAAACACCTGGGTGCTTAAAGGCTTAAAGTTTACCAATGTTACTTGACAAATAAGACAGGACACACATGCTTCCACCGTGCTTCTCCGTGATTAACAAGGAAACAGAAATCAAATAATTAAGGGATTATTACCTTTGGTCCAGGAAGTCCATGGGGTCCCTGAAAATGAAAAAACACAGCTTGTAATTAAGACCCTGGCTTCCAGTAAAAGCAATATTATATAAAGTAACAAAAGAGATATTAAACAAGAGTCTTTTCATTTCAGCGATGGCTAGCGGCAGGCCCTTGGATGTTAATACCTACTGAAAGTTCCTCCCAGTTCTTGGATTGCTCTAGAATAGGACACTCATTAATAGGAATCTTTTCTGCTAAATATCTATGAGAAAGAGGAAGGGACTCACCAGAGTTATATAGAAGAACCACAGAAAACAAAACATTCTGAACCCACTGCTCATCCTGTTCTCAAATTCCCATTTTTTTAACCTAGGTGGAATATAACACATAGTCCATGAATTTATGTGGAATAGAGGTAGGTCAGAAATTTGCCCACAAAAATCCTGGACTATTCATTCCAGTGCAGAGGAGACTTTTTTCCTATTACTAACCACTCCAGGCCAAGGTGTCGAAGAATCTAGAGGCAGGAAATGAGGTGATGTCAAGTTTGGAACTCAATTGCATCATTGGTTTAAGACAGAATTCTAACAGAAAAACTAAGCCCTGTTCTTTGTAATGCATTTATTTCACAAAGATGAGTTCTTTATAGCTCTTGTAACAACTGTTTACCACTGGAAGGAAATCAGAAGGCAGGCATGAACCAGGAAGGAGGCCCATGTGTTTAGTGGAAAATCCAAATATAGAGACTAATTAACCAACCTAAGTTATCTAAAGGTTACAGCAGGCTTTAAATCTTTCAAGTGATTTAAAAAAACTATTTGGAGAGAGGAGTATTTAAATTTCCACCAGGGAACTCGCACAACAGGAGGAAACAGTTCTTGTTTATCAAGCAGTGCATAGAGATTTGTTACATATATCTGCATGGGGATAATTATTTTCCCTTCAGATAAATAGTGAATAAACGTTTTTAGGAAATGACTGTTTCTTTACCATTTCTTATCTCATTTTACTAATGGCTTAAAATTCCTTTTGACTTAATTAATTTCATGATATGAACAAGAGGCAGCATTTTCTAATTTAATTGAGCTAAAGGGGAGAGAATATACAAAGGCCAAGCATGCCATTTGGTTAATTCTTAATAAACACTTTCATTTTAAGAAAGTAAGATTAACTATTATGATTTGCGGCAAGAAACTGGAAGGGCAGTGAGTAAGAGGCAGGTGATTATTCTGGGGCTATGCTCTGGGTCTGACCATTTCAGTGATGCTCTTTGTTAGAACACAAGCAGACAGACACACGGGGCATTTAACCTGAAGGACTGACATGAGCATGGTAGATTGAGGCATTTCAGACCTCAGCCTACCTGACTGGTTCTTCCCCGCTCTAGTCAAAAGCCTTTGAAGCCCTTGACACAGCTGTCTGTGGGTGTCCACTTGGAGAATCACACCGGTCTCATGGTGCCCCCCACCCTGGACACAATCTCTATGAAGGTATGGCCACTATGTCCTTCGGAGGATGCTCACAGTAAATACTGAGCCAAGCCAGAGCCATAACAATGAAGATGGAAAGCTTAGGAGTGTTCTCTGTGCAAGTGAGCTTCAATCACTGTCATGTTATGTTAGGATGATTTTATCATAATATTTAGAATTACTGAACATTTCATGACCGTGCTCAAGCCTCAAAGCTGGTCAGAAACATTCATAAATCTCTACAATCTTCCATCTTGTTTTCCTATTGGTGGCCTAGAACCAGACTGGTTAAAATGATTTTCTGATACTTGCGGTGTAAAGTTTGCCAGATCGATCTACCTTTATTTAGTTCTCCTATCACAAAAGTGCTTTCCTCTTCCCTACAGACATGCTGTTAGGAGCAAAGGACAACAGTGTAAAGTCAGTATATCTCAAATCACCTCGTATTTCTGGCCCATCCCACAGAGAGCAGGACAAAATTCATGACGGCTGTTCTGAGGGATGAGTTCATACTTTCTCTAGCAGTGCACTCATAAATAAACGACCCTGTCTTGGAGAGAAGGAGACTTACCATCGGGCCTGGTGGGCCGTGGGGACCTGGTGGGCCTGGTGGACCTATGATCTGTAGGTCCAAAAATAAACACGGATTTGGTTACTTCATTTACATGAGGCAGTTTGGCTTGTATTGTGTACTGAGTTCTGCTAAGGCCATTACTAGTTGCACAGGAAGGAGGATATGGAAGAAGTGATACCTTTGATTCTCTAGGCTTAGAAATTCTTTCATGAGGACAGAACAACTAAGAGACTACAGTTGTTCTACAAAAGCCAGAATAAGTAAAAAATCTCTGAAAAGACAAGGAAGCCACTGATGACCAAGAAATGTCTTAGACCACAATCATGAAGCGCTCAGGTTTTTCTTGAAGCAACCACAGGGCTCGGCCCATGTGCTATTCACAGGGCTCAACCCACAGCACAATGGGAAAATCTCTAATTTTCTCCACAGCTTACTCCTCTGCAAATTGCCCTGGCTTGGACCTCTGAGATGCATTATCTCAAGAGGTACATGGCTGACAGCTTTTTACTCTACATCTTGATAAGCAAGACAGTCACCGTCTTTGAAAGGTGGAATAGTCATCTGGTACCAGTGGAACTAGGCAGACAATGGCGCACCTCCAAGGTTTCTGAAAACTTACAGAAGGGCCCTGAGGACCTGGCAGTCCTGAGTCTCCCTTTTCTCCTTTTATCCCATTGGCACCCTGCAAAAGACCAGAAAGAGTGTTGGGTATAAGAGACATTTGGATTTTCCCGAACCCATTGGCCTCTTGAAACTTCTGTAATACTTTGCAAGAATTGATCTCCTTATTGTTTGGCCTCAAATACAATATAAACTAAATAAAAAACAGTAAGAATTGATCTCCTTATTGTTTGGCCTCAAATACAATATAAACTAAATAAAAATGAGGTTAGGTTTGATAAATTAAATTTATGCATTGTTATACCAGATTACAAATATTATAATTTTTGTAAGGATGAAGCTCAATTTTAATAGCAAAGTCAGTTTTGTATCTTCGTTTTCACTGACGAATATCACACACACATCTTTGTCATAAAGAAGATCTAGGGCAGTGAAGTATTATTCTGCTTTGCCCCCTACATTATTTTCTATTCCCTCCTCCATGTTCTTAATTCAAAGTGTTGGAGAAATCCATAGAAGCACTTTTCCATAATATCATATCTATAAAGAGAACACTTCCCAGATAACTTGTTTTTTAAATTGCTTATATATAGATATTGATAGAGAGCAATTTTTTTTAAAAAATGGTGAGTTTCAGGCTCTCCCTGGTGGTTTAATGGGTTAAAGCATACATTATGAAGCTCTCCAAAGCCACTGAAGCATGAGTTTGATCCCCAGCCAGGGAGCTGACCCACATGGCTTGGCAGACCTCTCCTGACCTGCCCTCTGCTCCCCTCAGCAGTGTACTTCAGTAGATCTGCCTGTTCTGCTCCCTACTCTGTGTTTGGTGAACCCTCTCACCCACCACACCTTTGGACTGTGCCCAAGTTCTATAAGCATAAATAAATCTTTAAAAAAAAACAAAAACAGTCAGTTTCCACAACCTTATGTGTTAAAATGCCCAACTCTATTTCTTTCCCTACCTTCTAGTGAAAATAATTCAGGAAACATTTTTTATTTTATAATTGGGTTAGATGCTTAAATTTTGTTTCCATACCCTGTGTTAACAGTAATTACCAATACCTGCAATGCTTAAAGAGAAAGATACTATACAAGCCACTAGGTGAGACTGTACTTAATAATATAACTCTTAATTTGCCTTACTATGAACAAAAGTACAAACTCACCGGTAATCCAGGAAGTCCAATTCCTCCTTTTTCTCCAGGCATTCCAGGGTCACCTGTGTCTCCCTTTGAGCCTTTGAGACCCTACAAATGATACAGTTTGCACATAAGAATTACACTGACCCTTAGTTACATCCTAGAATTCCAGGTCAGCTCCCCATTTTCAGAGTTCTTATTCTGTTCCTATACTCCCTCTATGAGACGGCCCTGTGTGTTCATTCTCTGCTCCTTTCACAGTGAGGAAATAGGCAAATATGTATTTAGAATGCTAGCAAATCTTAATCTTGTGATACTAATACTGAAGTAAGCTTACATGGAAATCATTCTTCATCCAAGGACCCTCACTGCAATGTGGACCTGTTCCCCAGAGAGAGGACCTGAGCAGAGAAAAGGGCCCCAGGAGGCACTGACCATTTACCTTTTCTGTACTAAAAATCACTGAGAGATCGCAGTGGGTTGTTTTCTCATTCTTTATGCCAATTTTATAAGAGCTAGTTCAGAATCTCCCACCCAGTGCATGGGAGGACAGGTGCTGGATGGGCAGATGGATCTTACTGGTTAAGCAAATCTTGGTTGGTTTTAGGACTCTGGTGAGGGAAAGCAATGGGATAGCCATTTCTTAGTAACAAAAGAAGACCTTGTAAGGCATACAGAAAAAAATCAGCTCCTGTGTATGTGGGGACCACATATGTCATTGCACATGGCAAGTTATTTGTAATGACTAATGGTGGGAAAGGTAAAGCAATATATTCTAAATTTATTTACAAATTCTAAAGTGATCGCTGATTGACATAGCATATCATCTAAAAATCTCTTTTAACTCCCACATGTTTATTTATTGTGACATTATAGGATTTCAATATACAACTCAGCCATTAAAATGTCTTCTCTTACAACTTATTTTTCCTACATAAAACTGTCTATCGAAGAGTGTATTTCACTGATTGTATCAAGAATCCCTTTGTTACAATCTTCCTGATTTTAGCCATATCTTGGGTAAATAATGGAAGTCCCCAAAACTCAAATACTGTATCTTTAAATTAACCCTGTGACTTGATTCTGAAATCTGAACACTGTCCCCATTCTCCAGGTGACAGTCTCTTAGGGATGGAGGGCAAAGTGTACTTATGGGAAAGGCAGCCCAGGCACTGTTTTTGTACAGATTGAATTTTTTTTTTTTTAATATTAAGGGGTGTTAAAAAAAATATGTTCCTCAGACTGCATGAGGCTTGCAAAGTGCAAACATGGATTACCTGGTCTTTTACAGAAAAGCTCGCCAACTTCTGTTTTAGGGGAAGTCTTTGGGGCTGTGGTCATAACCTGTAAAACTACAAGTGCTAATTTCTGGCTTGTCTAATAATTTAGAAAATTGGTTATAGTCTTTATTTGGTCAATGAAAACAAGGTCAAAATAATGCATACAAGTAATATCTAACTTTGTGGAAATGATGGTCACTGATTTTAATCTTGAATTGTTTGCACTCGATGACAAATATGAGGCTACTGTGACGGTAATGACCTTACACATCTATGAAAAGGTTGCAGAGATGTCCCAGGTCACCTGATAAGAAGTATGAAGGCAAATCCAAAGTACTGGATAGCTTGATGTTTCTGCAGAGAAAACTAATGTCTAATCTAAACCCAGCTACTTTCAGAGTTAATGTAGTTTCTAGAACAGATGGTGATAAATGAGGGAGGATCTCACATATCAAGGCTAGTGCCTCCTTGGCTTCCAACTTGTAATAAACACAGTGATCGATAATGATGCTGTAAATGACTATATATATCTTTGAAAATTACCTGCTCACCATCCACTCCTGGTATTCCTGGAGATCCTGGTTCTCCCTGTTAAGATAAAAAGTGATGGCCAGTCGCCACTCATCAGCCAGGGCATAGCCCATAAAATAAAATTGATGCTAGCAGGTAATAGGACAACTTGACTTCAGCAAATGCATCACAACCCAAGAATACTTTATTATATCATCCCAGATACCTAAGCTAAGTGAAAGAACATTTCCCTGAAGACTAGGGAGCTATATTTTTCTCCTCATTTGACAGATGAGCAAACAAAATAAAATAAATCAGTGTTCTCACCCACTGATATCATTGGGTGAGAACACAATCCTACTGGCATCCTCTATGTCTCAGTCAGCTAATGTTTTTCTCCTTAAAAATTATGCATAGTTTCTCTTCTTCTCCAACTTGACTGTTAAGAAAGAATAAATTGCAAAGCCCTGTAAGTCTGTGATATTTTAACTGGCATCATTTGAAGAGCAGATGGAAATTCACAATCATTCAAATGTTCTATTTTTCCAATAAACCTCTTTGAAGGATATAATAAACCAGGTAGTATCTTAACTTTCATAAAATAACTTTGGGATCAAGTCAGTTTCCTATTGTATGCTAGGAACGAACTGGGTGAGATTTATTATTCATATTATAATTTATTATTTTTGAAACCTCTTATTATTTGCTTTATTATTATTATTTTTTAACTAGAGAGTAGTCCTCGCCACAGAGTAAGGCTTAAAATTATTTTCTGAATACTTAAAACTAAGAAATGAGTAGCGACTGGATAATAAAACAATGGTGTTTAGGTTTCATGATACATCTTTCTTAGGTAGGTGGTGATTTTTACCTGTTTGGGTCAAGGATGGATCCTTTGGGGCTTCTGTAGGTCTTTGGGTTGTAAAGGGGCAGTAAGAAGCTTTGGAGGGTGATAGGGAATGAGGTTCATATTTATTACTGGGGACAATTTGACTTAGGCAAGGAAGTTGGTAATACTTTAATCTTCTTTTCATTATAGAAAAACAACTGCATTTATGAGCTGGCTCTTTTTCTTTAAGTATTTTGAGAGAGAACAAAAGCTGATGTTCATATATACGTGTGTGTGTGTGTGTTTGTGTGTCTATCTGTCAGACTTAGCAAATAAACTGTCTTGAGAAGCAAAACAAAAGATGAGTTTCGAAATGACTTGCATCTCCTACAAAAATTCAATGACGAAAGTCATATTTCAACACATGCAACTCACTTCTGAAAGCCAGTCACTAGCCTTGTGTTAATTGATCAAATGTGTTTGAATTACTAAGTGCTAGTGTGAAGGGATAAATTTAACACCACCACCAGATTTGGGAAATAATCAAGTTCTCTTGCTTGTGGCTGGTGTGTTTCACCAGATGAGATTTAAAAGGCATACACAATAGGCTGTGTTATAACCAATGACTAAAGGGTTCCCTTGTCGCTGTGGTGAAGGCATCATGTTAAGGATTCTCTTGTTCTTTCTATTATACACGAAGTGCAAGGAAGAATAGTTTTTAGCATCAGTAAGTTTCCTTTCAATCTTCCTCTATTTGAATCCTTTTCTTTTATTCGTACACATTTGGTGTTTCTTTACAGTTAAGACTTTCTGTATGACTTGTGTTCACCTGATTTAACATTTTTTTCTGAATGTCTCCCCTCTGATGTCATGCCCAATTTTCTCCCTTCTTTTCTAATTCTCCATTCTCCCTATCTTAATTTCTCTCCCTTCAGCCTAAACCTTAGCAAGAATAATCTTGCTGCTCTCAGCTTCTATAAATTTTAAAAAGTTGCTTTTTCAGCAACACATATTTAATATGGACTTCTCTGCACCAAATGTGGCAAATGGTAACAAGTAAAATAAAACAGTAACCTTCGGCCCCTGCAGTCCTTGAGGTCCAGGTGGTCCGGGGGGACCCTAAATCCAGAAAAGACAGAGTTTGAAAAGTAGCAACTCTAGGCATAAAAGTGCACTACACACTACCCAGATTTACATCATGACCAAATATTCTCCAATATCGATTTGCATTGAGGATAAATTCCACCAGTTACAGAATTATAAAACTTCCTACAAAAATGCAAAGAAACAAACATGTAAACAATTCTGAAGATACTTTGAGTTGATTTGTTCAGCCAATATAAAATAATTGCCATGATCCACACCCACCTCTCCTCACCATGAGTTAACCTACCAATATCACCTGTAACTTTACACAGCCCCTCTTGCATAAAGGGTTTAGTTTCTTAAACACATAAGAACAATGCTGTACTACAATGATAAAGCCAGTGATTTTTCACAAAAATAACTTCTTTGTTATGTTTTCTTCTTTTAACTAAACTAAGGAGTCTGGTACAGGTGTTGGAAAATATACAGGTATTTAACTGGCAAACGTTATTAATAGAAGAAAATATGAAATTATACATCAGGTCAATGTAATTGCCACATTAGGACCATGATGACAGCATGCATAACACCACGTCACAAACCACAGAAATCATGCAGCGGGTGTTACCGTGACAGTTAGAGTGGTGATCCTCTGTGGGGAAAATGCATTGACAAAGATACAGTTACCTATTTTGTGTGCCCAACAATACACAGTACATTTCTGAAATAATTAACTTCACCTATGTTTTGGCAAGTCTGATGTCTTGTAAATGTCTGATGAATTGACAGGACATGCGAACATATCCTATTTTCAAATGAATACAGTCGTGAAGATTTTGAAAGCTGGCTTTTAGAATTTTATTTTTAACAAATCTATGGATTTTTAGAAGAAAATGAAAATGTCAAAATTTCATTCACCTCATTTTTAAGAAACCATGCACGGAAAACTGTATACTCTAGGGGTTTGCTGGGGAATTGTGAGCTGAACAATGCTGCTATTCAATGGTCTCTGTGCTCAAGCACTTCAATTAAGCTGAAATACTCGATTGCATTAATAATTTTTTCTCACCTAGTCTGTAGTTTGTAGCGTTGACATTGGCTTTTGTGTCATAATTAAAGATAGGGGTTGGCTAGGACTCCTCTGACTTCCTAGTATAAAGCATATTCTCTCAACATATGGATTTCTAGCCCTGGCTACCTAACTCATGAATCATTTTGGTGTTAATGTTTTCTAGTGTAAGTCTTGTTCTCAAAGTTCTGTAGGATCTGTAACCACTATGGCTTCATAGAGGGGAGAACATTTTCTGTTTGGGACTCGAGTCATGGAGAAACATTATCCAATTACTCGTAAACTAGTGAATATTGATTTAACACTAATCCTTTGTTTTCCATTCCAATTTCTTCATTCCTACTTCTGGGTCAGGTTAGTATTGTTTTCTTTTATTGTTTTGACCTTAAAATGCTGTTGTTTAAAATGTTTTTGTAAACGCTCATCTCAACATTTCCTCACTTTAAACACTTACCTGAGAATCTTACATGAGGAAATCATTCCTTAAAATGTAATGCATGTGGTCAAAGGGTTAAAATTTGTAGTCTATGATACAATTAGGTGTGACCATTATAGCTTCAGAGAAAATAGTAGGGAAAAAACAACCAACCAGTTCTTTAAGGAAAAAAAAAAAAAAAAGACCACAAACTGGGAATAAAATTACAAAAAAACCAAGGCCCAGATTTTTATATCATCATGTCTATATAATATAGAATCCCACTTATTTTATTCTTAAGGGATTGGAGGATATAGTTATGAGAAAGAATTGGAGATATAGTTATGAGAAAGCTATTTATTCACTTCTTTAGGTAAATGAGTTGTTTTAAAAGGCTATTAGAAAACTATAGAGTGGAAACAATTTCTTTATTATTGCCTTCCAATTACACATTACATTTTAGACTGGAAAGCAGGCTCATAAGACCTTAGGGAGGGAAGGGAGTTTAAAATCAGACTCTGTGAGGTTTTCCAACATGTGCCATATATGAAATCATTTTCCACCGAAACACAAACCTAGTTTGTCTTTTTTTAAATTGAAGAATAACAACCTGTTTTATAATGAGTTGCATAATGAAAGAATTTTGCTAATGATAGCTGAACTACCTGATAGATAGGGTTAAAATGATTGTTAAATGACTCTATTTGTAAGACCTACAAGCTATACAGGACAAATTCCATTCCATTTGTGGAACAAAGGAAAAAACAGGGCAAACTTCCCCTAACCTCCATCTTACCACCTCTGTCACATCCAAGAGCAGACAAAGGAGCATCCAAAAAGCTCTGGACTTTTTGGGTTTTATCTAGTTATCCTCGATCTTTTTTAGAGGAGGCAATAATGGAATATAACCAGCAAAACTAAATATCTGTCACTAATTAGAGAACTGTATGAATGTCTACTACCTCTCTTCAATGTAATGACTGTTTAGCCTATAGCTTAATTGACCTGGTAAGGGGGTCTTAATCCACTAGAGTACTATATCAGGAAAGCAAAGAAAGTGTTTTGAAGTAAAAAAGTAACTATAAACTATTTACAAGCACAACACAGAGTTGCCTAATAATCCCATAAGAACTGTAAGTCTGGGTTGAGATATAAACATGGCCTAGTTGCCTCTGATGCCCACTGATTGGTGGGTAGTCATATGGCACTCAAGGTGAGAATGAAATTAGTACAAATAGCCCTTCCTAGTACCAACCTTTTAAAAACAGAATGTATTGAGGCATCTTAGCAAAGAATGTTTAGAGTCCTTTAAAACAACCCTAAGCATAAGAGATTTTAATAGCTCTTAAGAAAAAAACTATTTCAAAACATCCTCACTTTACAGATAAGAACAGTAAAGTATAGGCACATGAAATGAGTTCTCTAAAATGATGTGGCTACTGGGTGGCAGGAGAAGAGCAAAACATGATTCAGTTTTAGGCTAAAAGCAGTTAGCTTCATGTCAAGCTCTGTTTATGCAAAGCGGCTGTGAGAGACTCTTCCCATCTTTTTCCAGAAAAAGGCCATGACCAAAAATATTGGAGTATTTCCTTGGAGACAGAGAATGGATACCTCTGGAAGGAGGCCATTTCAGGAAAATTGACAATATTACTAACAAGTAAGTTAAAAAGATGTCCCTATCTTTGTAAGTAAGAAGTATGCCAACATCAGAGGTATGTCTAAACTTTTTGTTCCCCACACACACTTATCAACCTGGAAAGGACCTGCCTTCATTCGGCTCTGTTCTAAGTGTATAATCCCTGTCTGCACTGCTCTCCACAGCAGCCTAGGAGCTAGACACAACGGCCATCCTCGTCTGACAGCTGGGAACGCTGAGACCCAGTGATGTTGCATACCCTGCTTGGTGTCATGCACTGACAGAGCAAGAGCGTGCCAGCTCTGGAGCACACGGCTCCTCCTTGCTCTGCTAAGCTTTTTGAGGATGGCGACAAAGGTTGGTGGAACTAGTAGAAGGTTCCAAGCAGGGCATATGCAAAGAGAGAAGGGAGAGAAAAGGAAGACTGGGGGATGTCATGAAATAAAGAGGACTCCTTGGGGGCAGGAAGCAGGTGTGGCTCAGAACAGGAGGCGAAGCACTTCCTGCCCCAGAACCCTCTGCAGCCCGTGGACTGCGGAAGCTGATGCTTGCTCCACCCCTGTGGTGGGGGCCGCTCACTTGCCTGCAAGGCCTCGTGGAGGTTCCCGTTGTAGTCTATGATCTCGGTGGCTCCTTGGTCCCCCTTTTGCCCAGGTGCACCCTGTGGGGAGAAAAAACAGTCATGAGGCTTGGGCTAGGATGTGTGTGGGGGTTAGAACAAAACCAGGAACTAGCAATCTGTGCCCTCCCTGACCGTCAATTCCTGGTTAGGGTCCAACTGCACTGCGGAATAGAATCATGCTCAACTTTGTGCCTCTTCAGAGCAGGCAAGCCGCCTCGAGCTTCCTGCCTGTGTTAGCAGAAAGATGCGAAATCAGCTTTGAAACTAGAGATGTGATTGAGTCTCTGAAACTTTCCTGAAAATTATGAAAGGTAAGCTAATCTGATTTGACTTGCAAGTCTGGTTGGCTTTATCCATATTCATTAGGCAACCTCTAACCTTTCTCTGCTCATCTATACTTCCCTGATTGCACCCTCATTTTTTGAGAAAATAGAACACTGTTTTGTAGGAAAACCTGACTCTCCCAACAGGAGAGTCATTAACTTTCATTAAACAACTTTCATTAAAGTGCCATCAAATGACAAGGAGAACACCCATGTGTTTCTGAGGGATGTCTGCCCTATTCACCAGGTCTGCCACTGCTCATGTCATGTCCTCGTTCCCTGCCTGTGTTTAAAAAGGGTTTGAACATCAGGTTAATTGAGAAATGGAAAATTGTTACGGTGGCTACGGGCTTGCTGCGAGACACTCACCCTTGGTCCCAGAGCTCCCAGGTCGCCTTTGTCTCCACGATCACCCTTTCCCCAGTGAAAAGAGAAAAATAGAATGAGTAGTGGGGCCAACAGTCTAGAAATATCTCAAGTCTGTGGCTTTGTTTTATACCCTACAATAGCACCCTTACTCCAGATTTCTGAAGTGGGAGGTGGAACTGCACGGCCAATGCCTATTCGGGATGTGCTTGGCAGTGAGCTCCAATTCCCTTTTCAGAGTATCTGGGAACAACTAAACATATGCTATTCTCTCACTGGGATCCTCAAAGGCAAAACAAGTAGTTTCCATGACCCCAAAGCCAGCTTTTACTTCTCAGGCTGAGCCATATTCTAGCTTTGATATGATGAGATTTAGGGCAAGGGGCAAAGAAAACCAATGGGGTTGTCACTCCTCTGTCTCAATCAGAATGACGGAGTTCAGAAAATGCTCGTCTATGGGTGTTTCAACACCCAAAGGTGCTGAAGTGGACAGCAGCTAGCCCGATCCCTCAGCAAGGCTGAGGAGTAGGGGCAGGGTAAACCCAGCTTACTATTTTTTTTTTCAATGCATTATGAACAATCTCTCATGTTTCATTTATGATATCACCCCAGGGTTAGTCCCAGTCTCAGCCTCCACACACACAACAGTCACAAATCTCAGAAGTCAGAAACTCTGGGGAAGAGATTTGAATCACGGAGACTTGACATTCTTTAAAACGACTTTACGTTTATAGCCCTTTTCAAAACATTTTTATAGATCTTACTACCTATTCTGGTTAACAGGGTGAGTACCACTTGCAATAAATAGAAAAAGGAATTATAATATTTTTGCACCAACATAATTGCTCACAACATTGACCATAAGAATTAAATTTGCTATGCAGGGAGGAATTAATAATTTCTGCTCTCTTTTTTCTTCATCTTGAATCCATTTTTCACATTAGAAACTAACAACCTTTTGAATAATATGACTCTGTGAACAGTAGTTTTACTGTAGTGGATCACTGCAGATACGACAAAACACAATAAAGGAAAGAATCCTAACTGGTGCATAAACTTTAGTGCATTTTGCTTTTAAGCAAAGTGCAATTTGAAAAATTATTGCAGTGATAGCCAGGACATACAAAATGAGGTAATACCATGCAAAAAATTGAAGACCAGAAGCTATGGTTAGGAGACAGGAAGCATGATATCTCTTAAGAAGTCGAAAGCACAAGAACACACCAACACAGGCTGAAACACTGCAGTTGTTTCAAGACATCGCCCCAGGCATGAAGTGACTGGAATGCCCACGAGCGAGAGGGCTTCATCTAAAACACAGACTCGAGGCCAAGCCAGAGCTCAGCTCTTGAAGGCCTCTGTTTACACGAGTGTGGTCGCCCAGGTACTGACCTTGGACCCCTTTGGGCCTCTAGCTCCTGATTCACCTTGTTTTCCCTATTACAGGAAAACATGAAGAATGAGAATGAGAAAATGACAGAGGAGATAAGAACAGAAAAAAGAAATTAGCAGTGATTCAGAATAAGGAAGAAAAATGGGAACACTTTATTTTAACGGGCTCCCTGCAGGGCTCTCTACCACGCTGGCAGCCATAACTGCAGACAGAGGACTCAACGCCGAATCATCAGCTCATCACCTGGCCTCCCACTAGCCCTCTTCCACTCTAGCTCTGAAGACAGCCCTCCATCAGAGGCGGGCAGGCTCCATGGGTAATTCTCATTAGTCTCAACAGGCTGGTCTGCGTACATTTTCTTTTCGTCAGAGGAGATCATATCCTGTATGTCTAGCTGGGCTATTAAAACAAAGTGTTCCCATATTTGTTTGCAGGAAGTTTAGAGGAATATAGATTGAACCGTCAAACACACCCTGAGCGCTAATATCTTCAAGGTGTTACATGCCGTCAAACTACCATAGAAAAGAGCACAGCAGAGATCAGCTTCCTCTCCAGCACGTTCTACTCCCCACCGAGTGATAATGCATTTGTGGGACGATCCTTCCCCACTGTGTTTGGATGCCTTATTAAACTGGTTCACCCAACAGAGCAGAGTAAACTGGAAAAGTTGGATGCTAAATATCTTTTGTCAATAAACGAAACAATGTGCAGCTCAATGAACGTTTGATTTTGAGTGTTTCAACATCAAACATTTTTTTAAAAATTAACACTTTATGTTGCAGAACAAAGGACATCATTTCCAAACCCAAGGCAGTGACTGTCCAGGTAAGAATCACTCACCTTGGGGCCAGGGACTCCAGGCTCTCCTCGCTCCCCTCTTCCAGGGGGCCCCGCCTCCCCGCGTTCACCCTGTCACAGAGAGCCAATGGGTCAATGACATTCCCTGCCTCTCCCCTTGCCCAGTAGATTACTGAGTGAGCTGAATAAAATCAAAGAAAGTAGACAATTACCATTATTTATGTACTATGGACCCAGCCCTGTATTAATGTCAGCATGAATGATGCTCTTTAATAAACCAAATAATGATTCAGTGCTTGTATTATCACTGCTGCTTGAGAGATAAGGAAGCGGTTTGTAAATGCCTTTCAGATTCCTGTGCCAGTAAGACCTTCAAAGGGAACTGCAAAGAGCCACCACTTTACCTCAAAACAGGGCTGCACAGTTGTCATTCTGTGGTCCTGCTGGGGAGAATCTTTGCCCAGGGGCTATGGGTCACACATCAAACACATCCTGGGTCTTAATCCTGGCTCAGTTATTTACTGGCTGTGTGTTTGGGGCTGAGCTGGTGCAGGTGTGAAAACTTCAGTTTCCTCTGCAAAATGGAGAGAGTATGGTGCTCAAAGCATAACCGGTTTCTGTCCAGTGCAGAGAATGGCGTCAGATCTGAGGTGCTAGCCCCTCATCCACAGCTGTGAACAGAGTCACTGCCCTCAAGGAGCTAGTGACCCACCCAGACAGGCAAGGTGCACATGCAGGGGAGTGCCAAGATCAAGAAGGGATGTGAGGCCGTGTGTGAGAAAAGAGACAACCATTCAGGGTCCAGACTAGCTGCCCGAGATGAGACTCAGCCATGTGGGGAAGGTGGGGAGGGGTTTTAGTTTATAGTCACTGCTGCTGGTGCCTCTGCTGCTGGTGACTGCAGGGAGGCACAGACACTTTGCATGCATCCTACCTAAACCTCAGGACAAATGACAAAGGACTGAGCAGAAGCTCAGAGAGGTTAAGTCACTTGCCCAAAGTCACAAAGCTTTTAGAATGGGAGAATAGAAATGCAAAATGGTGCTCCAGCTCCAATTTTTGCATAAGTACTTTTCTAAATCATTTGTCCATCTCTGGTCATTTCCTTAGGATAGATTCCCAGTTGGGGAATTGTTGGGTCAAATGTCTGAACTTAAAATCCTGCCAATGGTATCACTTTGCCTCCTCTGAACACACTGCAGTGTCCAGCTTCCTGTGTGGTAGGTAGGATTTCAGTTCAGCTGGGGATGGGCTGTTTCTGCATGAGAGGGAAGGAACGCATTCATCTTGGAAAGGAGAAGAAAATAGGATGTGATTCCATGGGTGACGTGTGGGTCTCAATTCCATTTTCTTATCTGTATTGAGTCCACTCTGGGATGCCTTTGTGGTTTTGCAGGGGAGGTGGGATAGATCCAGGCAGGCAGGAAGAAGAAGCCTTCTCTTAGCCTGAGCTAAGGAGAATGTGAAAAGGGAGAGGCTGGGAGGGAGGTCAGGGACCTGACTGAAGACAGGAGATGGAAGAGATCCAGGAGAGATTTTCCAGGGACTAGAGAGAGAGGGCTTCTGTTGATACGCGGATATTTTTTTAAGTAGAGTATTTGCTATTTCTTTTTACATTTCACAGAATTCTAAAATAGTAAATAACTACGCTTATTTTAGGGATAAACAAATGTGGCTGCAAAACGTTAATCTGTAGGATGCCATGCAGAGTGGAGTCTATGTCTTTACAAATAATCTCACTTTTCCTCCCAATTCCCCTAATTATTCTTGCTGCTGTATTTGTCACCCAGATTGTGCTACTTTATTACAACAATGCCAGAAGTAGTAGCTTGGCACTCTCTGGCATCAAGTTACTTACCTTACTATTACATTTTACATAATTACAGATCATATTAATATCAGTCCTCCTCACACCACTCCCTCCCTTATATTGGGATGTAGCTTCAGGAGAACAGACACTGTTTTGTTTTATCTACTCTTCATTCTCAAATATCAGAAAGATGTGCGGCAAAAAATGTGCTGAGTTCACGAATAAATGGCACTAGTCGAAGTTTTCTAAGTTATTCAGCATCAAATTCCATTTCTCTAGCCTGATTAGATGTCTCCGGGGCACTGGTATAGACGCCGAGGTGTGGCAGTCCATCCAGCAGGTTTTTAGATGGTATTAAACATTCCCCTTCTGAACGGTTGGGAGTAAAAATGCAGGCTTGGTTTTTACATCTTAAGTCTGAATGAATATCATGGTACAAATCTAGTCTGCCAACAGATCTGAGGAAAGACCAGCATTCTCTGAAATGATTATGACTTTGCCATTATTACATCAAATTCACATTAGACAACTCAGTTGAAAGTTAACTTCAAAATACTGTTCAGAAAATGAATTTGTTGTCCACATCCCTTCCTGCGGAAATAGGAAACAGGGTCAGAACCTTCTTTTCTTTCACTGGGGGCTCAGAGCAGTATCTGATCAAGTAGTATCTGCTCTGTAACTTGGGCTGCCTTCCTTGTGAATGATAATTAATGCTGATTTTATAGCTCTGCATCTGGAATTTTTTGGAAACCGCAGAATAGTTTAAAATCAGGAAAGAAAGAAAAGATACCTAGGGATGAACTCTCATCTGTACCCCCGTGTTTCTGCAATATCCCCTTGAGTAGCAAACCCAATGCCACCAACATAAAGGGGTGCAGTTGATGTCTGGTTCTCTCCCTTTCTCTGCTTTTCCTTGGGCCATCTCCCTTGTCTATCTGGCCCTCAGGCTGCAGACCCGATTAACTGTTCTTGTCCTTATTCTCTCGTTCTCTCTGTCTCTCTTATTCCAGAAAGCACATTTATTACAGTGAATCTGTATAAACTAGACAAACATTTCTCATATTTTGCTAACAAGCCTGACCATTAATTATGAGAAAAAGAAATGGCTTAAAAAAACAGCCATTTTGCCTAAAATCAGAGTGTGGCCCTGTAGGCAACACATATTTTCCATCTAATAGGATTACAGTCATTTTCTTTTGACCAGTGGAAATGAGGATCTTGCTGTCAGGACAGACCATGAACATATTTCTCCAGTTCTTGGAAATCATCCTGGCTTATTGCTGGTGAACACAATATGTACCGAGGCAAAGATTGCTATGGTTTAAAAATAAAGGAACGTAGTTTGATCTAATTTTGCCCTTCTCTGATTCATGGGTCTGTCATGAAAAAACTTGCATCCTCAGCACTGGACCTTTTATGTCTTACAGGGAAGATAAAAGGAGAAGTATGGGTCTGACTGTATCCACAGCAACATCATTTTTTATATGGCGGCGTAGAGATTTTGTTTTTAGGGTCCTCTCTAGGGTTGCCAAGAGGATGATCATGGGATGGTTTTCATTATAGACTGTTTGTGCAGACATTATTCAGGATGGCTCCTTTTAGGATGAGGTGCTTAGGAATCTAGATGACATCAGTACTTGTCTTTGCAATGCAGGAAGTGATCGGGAACAGCAATAATATTTGATTTACAAGTCAGTCCTAAAATTGGTGACAAGAAGCAGGAATGAGTGATTTTTAGCTCTCCTCAGAATTCTCCAACTTTTGGGGTTGGATGCCCTGTGTCCCCAGATGATTCCTGCCCTCCTGTGAAATATCTTGGGCTCCAGTGAACTGTCTCAGCCTACTCATTTATAAATGCTGAAAAATTCACTTTAACAGTTTGCTTTACTAAATGTCTAATGTGTGATTTGATAAGCCACATATACAATTATTTTCAAAAAAAAAAAAAAAGAATTTTCCTATGGCCAGAGGGTTAATAAGATCTTACAAATTTAGAATCAATTTGGAGGGTGACTGGAGTTACTAATATATGCCACCAACCTCTTGTCCTGCTTAAAGCTTCTGGAATTAACGTCTTTCTCTACTTAATTTGGGATTCCCATCAGGTGGCCACTCAGGGGAGGGATAGGTAGTTAGATCTAGTTCACTAGTTAGATCTGGCTCACAAGTTAGGTCTTTGTGAGCCAAACATATCTGGTCTCCTCAACAATGATGCTTCCATGTTTCTCTGAACATCACGAATGAAAATTATATGACAAAAATCTCAGAAAGAAAGGGAGTGAAAAAGACTCCATTTACCTTTGTTCCTGGCAGCCCGGGTAAGCCTGGTTCTCCTTGAGGACCAATGAAACCTGGTTCTCCCTTAAGAAAAGATGGGATATGAAATCATTATTCATCTGATGGTAAATAAAGTTCAACTGATTTCATTCCACCACCGAGCTTTTACTCCCTTGATTGCTGAAATCCCTCTACTGACTAGGATCAGAACTGATCAGTGAAAATTCTTTGAGCAAAATTAGAAAGTACAAGTGATGAAGAAACCAGATAAATGTCTTTGCAATCTTGCTTACCTGCTGTCTAGTGTTTCTTACCATTTACCAAATTAAGATGCACCCTGTTGGGGAGGTGGGGGCTGTAGTAAAGACTCTCTGAGACCCCACCTCCTGGAATCACGCCCTGCAGTCACCTCCTTCCCTGTTGTGTGAACCGGACTGACTGAATCATCTAATGAACAGAAGGAGTGGAACATCACTCTGAAGCCTGCATCCTAACAGACAGTGGCTTCCTCTGGGGGGCTTTTCTGGTTCTCTAGTACTTGGATCCCTGACCATGAAGAGAGCAGGCTGCCCTGCTAAAGGCCACCCTGTAAAGAGACCAGAGCCGTGAGGGCCAAGGCTGTGGACAGCCACAAGTATGAGCTGGGGATGCACCATCCTGGTATCACCCTCAGATGAGAACACAGCCCCGTTTGGCAACTCGATGACATCTCATGGGGGCATGGTGGCAGAGACACCCAGTTGTTGCATTCAAGTTCCTGTTCTTACAAAACTTCAATCATTAATGTCTGTTGCTTTAAACCAAAACTTGGGAGTTATGTCAGAGGCAATGGATCACCAACATGGCGCATGTAGCTTTGGAAGACAGGAATGTTCAAACTGCAGAGAAATCTAGGAAAGGAAAAAAGTCTCTCCTTGCCACACCTCCATTACCTCGTCTCTGCCATCTGGAGGAAACCCAAGGGAGGTTTAATAAAAAGCCAAATGATCTTGCTTTTGGTTGCTGGCAGAGAGCTCTGACAACTTTGAGAATTTCTGAGTGTTGACAATGATGGGAATATCTCCTGTTCCTCATGACAAGCTGCTTTCATACATACCTGCATTTATGCTAATGAGGTGACTCCTGATGGACCCCTAGATAGTTTTGGGGTATCACCCTCAGATGAGGGTGATAGCTCCTGTTGCCACAGGAACCATCTGTGTGGTAAGAAGGTTGGTTGCTCAGCCTGTCCCATCTCTCACCATCTCACCAGGAGAGAGGTTGGCCAGTGATTTCATTACCCAGGCCTATGTAATGGCCTCTTCATTGAAAACCACAAACGGGGAGTAAGAGCTCCCAAGTTAGGGATTAAATACCACATTGACAGAACAGTGAACCCCAATTACAGGAGCTATTGACTCCTGCATTGGACTTTTTGACCTCACTCCATGGGACCTGCATATCTGGCTGCTGTTTCCTTGTATAATAAACTGCAGTAGTGAGAGCCCTTGAATCTGTAGCCATGCCAAACAGGCTAGGTAGCTAGGGAACTGTTAATTGGGGCCTGAAGTGAGGGCAGTCTTAGGGACCTGAGCCCTTAACCCTTTCAAGTCTGAGGCTAAACTCGACCAGGATGGAAGTGGAGGGGAGGGCGTTGTAGGAGAATGAGCTGGAGAGCTGGAAGTGGAAAAGATGCTACATACTTGGTATCAGAAAAGACCCAAGATGAGTATTCATGTTTTCTTCAATATCCATGAAGTCTGTCTTATTTTTCACAAAGTGAGCTCAAATATAATAGTTTTAACTTCCTGAAATATCTAATGAACTAATGACTTTTAAAGCAAAAAATGGATGGCTCCAATCTTAAATTGTTTTTTTTTAACCTCCCCGTGATTTATTTCTGAGGCAATTGCTAATGTGTGATACTCTTGATTTTTTGCTAAGACAGTGACCTTTTAACTTTTGTTTTACGATATTTGGAGTGAGCAGGAAAATATAAAGGGGGGTTTGGCAAGACATGTTCCATTATCATAAAGATGTTTGAAGCAAATGAATTTTAAAAATATATATAACTCTGGAGACTGGGTGGAGAACAAATGAACTTCATCACCCCAAAGTGTATCAAGTTGATATATAACTCACATGTATTTATCTAGTTTGAGGGGGGAAAGGATGGAGGATGGGACCATAGTGGTAGACTATTCATGAAATTTCTATAGCTCTATTGTATCCTTACATATCACGCAAAGGAAAATCTGAACAAAAAATTGTGGAGGGATCTCTTAATGGTTTAAAATGAAAATATACCACATTCAGATAAATATAGGAAATATATTTCACAAACCAACAAAAGATAAGAAATATATATACTTGTATATATATTTATAGTCACATATTTCTGCTAATAAAATGATACATACCTGATACATAAGTATATAATAATTCCTCTCAAAAACCCTCCAAACAAGCTGTATTAAAGTCAGTGTGTATCATTAGTAAGGACTCACTGTCATGAAAATACAATGCAAGTTAATAGGTTGCAAGTTTATGGGTAGACAAGGCTCTGCCATATCCATAGAAATAAAACGTTTAGCAAAGCAAATAGAAGCAATGTTCAGTCGACTAATATAAGCGAAAAAAGTGATTACACATTGCAAAATGTATTGCTTACTCAGGTTAATGTTTAGTTCATAAAAAGATGAAGCATGCAGTTTCATAGTTCACAAATAAATGAAGATTTGTAATCTCAGAGGTCTCCCCCAAAGTGGGTTTCCTTTAAAAGAAATATTGAGCATCAATTAAAATCTTCTTAGTAAAACTATAGGAAATTCCTTTAAACAGGTCATTCATAGGAAAGTTATTTATTTCAAGATGCATTTGAAAAGTCACATAATTTTAGCACTATTAATTTTGAAGACTTTGAGTATGATTAGTTATATTTTATCATGCCTCCCTCAGAAAGCATGTGCCATACTACATTTATTTCTCATTTCAGTTTTGTCAAGGGGAAAACAGCTAATTTCAACCTATAAATTCACAGCTCTATGCTTATCTAATTCCAGAGCTCTTACTCCTTTTAAAGACATCATTTTGTCCTCTATCTTAGCAGGACAGGGAGGAGAGGAACAGTGGTCTCAAGCTTCAAGACAGTTAGGATAAATGCACAGAACTCTGTCCATGTGTGTTCTTGAGCTGGTTGGCTGTTGTTCACCTTCCTAAGCTGATAGCAGGGGATCTCAAAGTGCCTTCTCACTCACCCTCCTTAGTCCATCGAGGAGGAAAAGCCCACTGGTTCGCCCTTAGATTCCACTCTGCACCTAACCTTTAAGAAACTACCACTTGTAGAATTTCGGGTCAGATCAAAGAAGAATATCCACAATTTTAGGAAAAGACTTTTCAAATAATCTCCCCTGTTCAATGACCTATCTGTGTGAGTTTTTTCTTTTCTTACACTGTAACTAAAACAACAAATTGCAACAGATTGGAGGCAGAAGGAGAGATGAGAATCCAGCTGCCTTCTATTAAACCAGACATTAAAGAGATTTGCAACATAAATAAATAAATAACACTGGCACCATCTTGCTCAATTTTTTTTTGTTTTGGAAAATTAAGTTATATTTCAAACAACATACAATTTAATGAACTTGTAATGGGCTTTAGGAATTTCTTGGTTTTAATGTCTAATTCAGATATGTCAAAAGTGTAAGCAAAAAAAAAAACAGGAACTGTTATAGTCCAAATTTTTAAATGTGTATGGAGTCTTAAAAAAAAATGTTTGAGAACTGTTGGTATAAAGGTACTGAACTGAGTTAAAGCCTGACTTCGAAAACGGGAATTCCAAAGTGGCAAATGTGGACGATTCTAGCATCATTAGGCTTAGTCAAGACATCATTTGGCAAAGCACTTAACGCTGTATCTAGAATAAAGCAAGTGAATGATAATGCTCCTGTAGTTAGCTTCCAGTTAGAAAAATGTTAGTTATTATTAGCAGTCATAGCAGCTAACAGGATTTTGCTACTAACTGGTGATAAATGAGGTGACTTTGCTTTCTTACAACAACATATATGGGGCCACATTCTCTATCTCTTCCTCATAAGTAGTAACTCTAAATTGGCCCTCCCTGGGGGTGCAAGGGATTAGGACGCAGCACTGCGAAGCTGGCCGCAGCCACTTCAGTGCAAGTTCAATCCCCAGCCCTGGAGGTGACCCACATGGTGCAGCACACCTCTCCTGTCTGCCCGTTGCTCTCCTCAGCAGTTTTCATCAATCTGCCTATTCTGCTCCTGCTTTGTCTCTGGTGAAATCTCTCACTGCCCCCGCACCTCTGGCCTGTACCCCAGTTCTCTATACATAAATAAATAAATCTTACATATATGCACAACTAAACATATATATATAGTATATAAAGAAGTAACCCCAATTTTCACATGTGAATATATCATTTTATGGGATGATCTTCATCTGCCATGGCATTTAGGACTGAAAACGTAATGAGGTTAAAGATATATTGTAAAGGTAGAAAAGCAGCAGGATTACTAAGAATGAATTTGGGCCAGCTTTCTAAACATTTTAGTGTGATTTTTAACAAACAAGAAATTAGTTATTTGACTGTAAACACAATTCTAATTAACCAGGGCAGAAGATGAAGACTGGCTAAGGAGAGAGGAGGGGAAAGTGACTGAATAGGATTCAAACATAAAATCCGATTTTGGAAAATTGTCTTTGAAGTAAATCAGACCACACAAAATGGGGTTACATCACTTTTCAGGGTAACAGCCAGGAAACAGCTTATTATATTGGACTATCTACTGATTCTCAGAACCAGTTTTTGCACAGTGAACTCAGTTGATCAGTGGGACATAGGAGAGGGCAAAACTGAAAATTATTTAAATCTATTTGAGGTCACACAGTGACATGGAGATATTGTAGGGGAAAAGAGAACTATAATGGAATCAAGCTCTTACTTCCATTACTTTTAATGAAGGTACAGTTAAAGCTAGACTTGATTTTTTTTAAAAATTTTTTTTAACTAGGCAATGACCTGTCAAATCATAATTTAAATGGACCATTTTAGAATACAGGGAGACCCTCTGAAAAGGATTTTA